TGTGCCTGAGGCCAGCCGAGGACAGGACACTGGGACTCCTGTACCTGAGCACCAGGTCCCAACTCAGTGAACTCAGGCCTTAGGGACGAGGGACTCTGGGTGCTGCTGAACATCACCACACACATCAGCTCCATGTGTGCACGGGGGGCACAGCACACACACGACAGCTCCATGTGTGCATGGGGGGCACAGCACACATGTGCCCGCTCCATGTGTGCACAGGGGGGCACACCACACCACATAAATCAGCTCCATGTGTGCACAGGGAGACCCCACACCACATGTGTCAGCTCCATGTGTGCACTGGAGGGAGCACAGCACACAAGTGTCAGCTCTATGTGTGCATGGGAGGGACCCCCATCACATGTGTCAGCTCCGTGTGTGCACTGGGGGACACACAGAATGCACATGTCAGCTCCATGTATGCACTGGAGGGAGCACAGCACACACATGTCAACTCCATGTGTGCACAGTGGGGGCCCACAACACACACATCAGCTCCATGTGTGCACCAAGGGGACCTCACTGAACACACATCAGCACCATGTGTGCTCAAGGGGCGGCCACAGAACACACATGTCAGTTCCATATGTGCACAGGAGCACACTATTCCCACACACGTCAGCTCCATGTGTACACTAAGGAGACCTCACAGCACACATGTCAGCTCCATGTGTGAATAAGGGGTCTACAGAACACACATGTCACCTCCATATGTGCACCAAGGAGACCTCATAATACACGTCAGCTCCATGTGTGCACAGGGGGCACACCACACCACACACGTCAGCTCCATTTGTGCATGGGAAGTAGCACAGCACACATGTGTCAGCTCCATGTGTGCATGGGGGGTGTAGCACATGTGTTTCAGCTCCATGTATGCACAGGAGGTACAGCACACATATTTCAGCTCTGTGTGCATGGGGCGCACACGATAGCACACATGCAAGTTCCATGTGTACACAGGGGAGACCCCATGCCACATGTGTCAGCTCTATGTGTACACCTGGAAGTATACACCACATGTCAGCTCCATGTGTGCATCAAGGGGACCTCACAGAATTCACATCAGCTCCATGTGTGCACAAGGGGGCCACAGCACACACGTCACCTCCATGTGTGCACAGGGGCACACCACAACACACACTTCTGCTCCATGTGTGCACCAAACGAACCTTACAGCACACACATCAGCTCCATGTATGCATGGGGGAGACCCCACACCACGTGTCAGCTCCATGTGTGCACCTGGAGGGTCACCACACCACACACGTCAGCTCCATGCGTTCACAGGAGGGTCCACACCACACATATCAGCTCTATGTGTGCACCAGGAGTGATGCCATACCACACATGTCAGCTCCAAGTGTGCACTGAGGGGGGCACAGCACACACCAGTGCCACATGTGCATGGGCCAGACCCTACACCGCATGTGTCAGCTCCAAGTGTGCTCCTGGGGAGACACAGCACACACATGTCAGCTCCATGTGTGCATGGAGGGCCCCACACCACTCACAACAGTTCCATGTGTGCATGGGGGGACCCCACACCACATGTGTCAGCCCCATGTGTGCACCAGAGGGGGACCCCACACCACACGTCAGCCCAAGTGCACTGGGGGCACCTCACACCACACTCATCAGCTCCACATGTGCACCAGAGGGGTGCAAACACCAGCTGCGAGGGATTTGTGGCCCTAAGGGACAGTGTGTCCTGGGATCCCTTAGTCCTGGACAGACGGCATGGCTGGTCATCTATGTGTCTTGGCCCTGACCTTGGCCTCAGCCCCACATCCTGACCAACAGGCGCTGACCATATGTGGTTCCCACTCTGACTGCATGCCGGCACCTCTACAGCTGCCCGTGACCACTGGGACCAAGGTGCAGGTGAGGGGAGAACAGGGCTTTGGAGCAGGTGGCCGCTCACACTAGGAACTCCACATGAGTGCTGTTGAGTCTTTCCGGTAAAGGGTGGCCCAGAGCCCCTTCCCGGGGGTGCGGTCAGCCTTAGGTTGGTAGGGACCTTCATCAGGCAGTCAGCCTTGTCCCAGGTGACACTGCTCACAGGCAAAGCAAACCCCTGTGTGATGCCACCCTAGGCTCAAGGACTGTGAATAAGCCATAGATACCTGGGGGAGCCATGGTGTAGGGTCCCCTAGGGTGGTGGCCCTTGCCACAGCCTGCAGGGGCTGTGCATGTCCCTGTGGGGGCCCTGGACACAGTGCCTGAGACAGCAGGAGAGACCCTGGCTCATTGGAGGTGAGGAGCTTTGAAGCCCCCCAGCTCCAGGATGTGCCGAGTCAGCCTCATCCCCTGGCACTGAGCTGTCACGGGTCTGAAAGGGGCCCTGGTCACCCTCTGGAGAGGTCCTTCAGAGCTCAGGGGCAGCCGGTGGCTCTCGGGGTCTTTATTGTTCATTGGTGACTTCAGGTACAACAGACCAGAGAGTGGCCCAGTCCTGCATCAGCCCAACTGCCGGTCAGTTTAGCCCATTGTTATGGGCCTGCGGGTTGAGTTAAAGCCGAAGGACCCCATGTGAGGTGTGGGCACCCTGCGCTCAGCTGAAACAGTTAGACTTCAGAGCACTGTTCCCACCTGGGGCCACAGCAGGCCTGGGAGTGGACAGGTGTTCTCACCCTGATGCCACACTGTTTTGTCCACACTGTCAGTAGGCACACTGGGCTCCTGTGAACCTGGCCCTTCCCCGCAGAAGGGTGGGCAGACAGGAGCTGTGAGGACTGCCCTGCACCCCTCCTGGGGGGAGAACCTGGGGTGCAGCCGGACACAAAGAATTTAGCCAATGCTTCTTGTGTCCCCTTAGCCTGAGACACAGAAGTGCGTCCTCCCTTCTCACACCGGCCACTCCCCTGGCCCTCTGGTGCTCCCAGGCCTGTGTCCACATGAAGCCCCCAGTCTTCTTATCACCGTCACCGTGTGTGGGCGAGTCACAGGCTGGAGGTGGGGGAGTCTCTGGATCTGAACTGAGAGGGTGGCGCTCATTTAGCACCCGGAGTCCCAGGTGGTGGTCCCTTTGGTGTAACCACATGGGGTGCAGTCTCCGAGGACATCCAGCCCCTCTGCTGCTCCCCGACCCCACTGTGGCCTGAACCCCAGTTCCTGCCCTTTCCCCTGTGCTCCCTCCCCGGGAGGCACAGGGCTGCTCACACCTCCAGCCATCCTTCCACTAAGCCCGGCCTCACATCCTCCCCTGCCAGCCCCACTGGGCTGGTCCTGGTTCCCAGCCATTTTCCTTCGGGAGTGTGGAAGCACAGGGCAGGGGGGCAGCTCCCTCTTCTGGAGGTGTGACCCCTCGGCCCACCACAACAGAGACACAGCAGTGTCTGGAAGTAGCTTCTCTTCTCGGGATCCCCAATGCCCACCTGCAGCTGCCCACACCGTCCTGGGCAGACCTCTGTCCCCACCAGCTCTCGCCTCACAGAACAGGGAGGGCTCACTTCTCCACAATCGTAAGCATAGAGCTGGCTGGTGGCATCTAGGATGGCTCTGTCCCCACATGTCCTCCTTGGCAGCCCTCACAGAGCACGGGCCAGATTACGCAGGCCACGTGCTGTGGCCTGTTCAGCCCCGGAGCAGCTGTCATACCCACCAGGTTGGAGACCCCAGGCCCCAGGGTTGTCCCCAGAGCCGCAGGCCCCAGTGCCTGGCCCAGTCCCGCTCTCCGGTCCCTCGCTGTGGCTGCAGCTGCATGGGGAACAGCAGCTCTGCTGACGGTGCAGATGTGTTGTGGGAGCTCAGGGAGGCGTGTGGATGAGCACGCCAGGTCACGGGGCATGTGTACAAGGGTCGGGGCATCTGCACCCCCTGCGGAGGGAGCTTGGTGTGGCACCACAGCCCTGGTGCTTGCGGCCTGGTAATGGCACTTGTTCCCACCCTGGTCTCTGTCCTCCATCTGGCATCCGGGCACAACAAAACCCATGGTCGCCATGGAAACTTCCCAGTGCAGCCAGAAGGGCCCAGAAACGGTCCCCAAGGCTGTGGTCAGGACAGCGTGCTCTGTGTCCAGGCTCAGACTTTGAGTGGCGTGTTCTGCTGTTGAGTTTGGTTCAAGAGGGGCTGGGGTGCCGTGGGGCCTCAGTTTGCTCCATAAGCTCGTTTTCCATCCTGTAAGATGAGAGAAGAGTGTCCCCAGCAATGGTCGAGGCGGCTCCTCCCTAGAGCCCAGCCCCCAAGCAATGCGAGGAGGGGAGGCAACGCGGACCCCATCCTCCCTTCAAGGCCCCTCCCCCCAGTCTGCTGTCCTCTAACAGCTGAGCCTTGCCTTCATTCAACAAACACTGAGTGCATCTCTACCACATGCACAGCACTGCTCTGGGTGCTGGGATGTAGACGGTATGAGCTCAGTGCTTGGGCTCAGCCTCGGGGGGTCCAGGAGCTACTCTAAGAGCTCTCCTTCTGGGCTGGCTCAGACCAGAATCCACCCTGGGCCCAGGTGCTAGAGCAGGAGCCAGGTCCAAGCTGGTTCCTGAGGACACAAAGAGTCAGCCCAAGGCCACCTGCCAGGATGCCTCACTTGGGAGGTGCTTGGGCTCCGATGGGCAGCAGAGCCAGGTATAGGTTCACAAGGCAGATGCAGGCTGGTGGCCCCAGTCTGACTTGCCTGTCTACCTCCTGCCCCAGTGGCCCCTTAGGTCTGGACCTTCTAAGGATTTACCAGTGAGAAAGTGCCAGCACCCAGGCCATCAGGGAGAGAACCTCTGGAATACACCAGAAACCCACTTCCAAGATGAACTGTCATGGGGATGGGCAGGCCATCGGGCCCCAGTGTCCATTCTCAACTCGTCCAAAACCCTCCCCCCCAGGTCTTGGTCCTGCTGAGCCAAGCCAAAGAATCTACCACCAGCTGGACGTCCCAGAGCCTCACACCTCCTGGAACATCAGCATCACAGACAGGGAGGCATGCTCTGCCCTAACCTGTCACCCAAGTCATCATCAGTACAAAGTCAAGGATACCCACCCAGGCACTTGGCTCCCCGGCATCCTCAAGGCCACAGAATGAATGCTAGTGAGAAAAACAAAAACAGGAACAAAAACTATAAAACAAGACCAAAAGAAAATGAAGAGAAAAAAGAAAGAAAAGAGACGTGAGACATGTAGCATGGAATTCCTGGCGGCAGTAGCAGGGACGCAGGTCTGGAACTGCTTTCTGAAAGGAATCAGGTTTCCTCCAAGAACCCAGGCCCATCATTGGCTGTCTGTGTTCCCGACAACCAACTGGCTCAGACTAGAACAGTGTGCACCACAGCGGGGTGACCGGGGCAGAGACAAGGGTCCCAGAGACCCCAGGCTGACTGCTCAGATGCGAATGGTCCAGACCATGGCAGGGCAACTGGGGCAGAGATGAGGGTACCTGACACCCCAGTAGACACTTTGTCTGTAGAGGAGGGATGTCTGGTGGTCACACTGGTGGCTTTCACTGAGGGACTGGGCCATGAGGAGCACACCAATGTCTAGAAGATTCCATGAGAGGTCAGGCACACAGAACCTGCTCCCCACCCCATCCCAGCCAGGGCTCCTTCTCCCAAGAAACTTACTACTTAAGATGCTTTGTGTCATTCAATTGGTCTATTTCAAAAAGGAAAAATAGCAGAAATAAAGTTGCCTTAAAGGGAGAGAAATGTCTACAGGCCTGACCATGAAGAACTGCTGGATGTCACAGGGGCCTTTGGAACAAGTCTTGTTTTGTTCCTGAAAGAGGTACCATCTTCCCATGCTATTTCTGTGAGTCTGGGTTGTGCCAACAGTTAAGTGTGCAGCTGCTAATCCAAAGTTTGGAAGTTTGAAGGGTGACCAAGGGCCATAGTCTTGGGGTTTCACCAGTCTCTTCCAGACCAATAAGCATGGTCTAGTTTATGATTTTGAGTTGTATTCCACATTTTCCTCCCACTCCATCCAGGGTCTCCAAGTTGGATCCCTTTCCAGGTGGTCAGCAGAGGTAGCCAGGCACCGTCTAGTTCTGGTCTCAGGGTCACGTGAGCTGAGTTCCCATGGTCCACTGGTCCCCTGGACTAATTGTTTCCATGTGTCCTTGATTTTTTTCACTCTTCTCCCCGTGACTCAACTTTCGGCCAGACAATAGACAGGTCTACAAGGTGAACAGTCCCACCAAAGAGCTGTGCATTCCTTGGAACTATCAGCCACACGGTGCCAAAAGGACAGCATTTGCCCAGGAATAAAGCTCGGAAGGCAGGAAGGGACAGGAAAGAGGGACAAGGGGAAATGGTGATCACAGGGAAGAAGTGTGAAGAGAGCTGTTACACTGTGGAGACTGCATTCAATGTCAGAAAACAAAACTTCATTAACAGTCGAATGGGAAAACACTTTGCTCTGCAAATGTTCACTGAAATCGCAATAAAAAGGTAAAAAAAAACCCCAAAAAACCTGGAGGTTCGAGTCCCCTGTCCTGAACCCTTCTGGGGCACAGTGCTGCTCTGATGCACATGAGTCTCCAGGTCAAGGCTGACTAGAGGCCAACCAGCACTGGTGGTGGTTATCGTTAGGGACCGTCGAGTCAGTTCTGACTCATAGTGACCCCATGGACAACAGAATGAAACACTGCCCGGTCCTCTGCCGCACTCACAATCGTTGCCATGTTTGAGCTCATCTTAAACAGCAGCCACTGTGTCAATCAATGTCCTTGAGGGTCTTCCCCGTTTTCACTGACCTTCTGCCTTATCAAGTGTAGTATCCTTCTCCAGGGAATGGTCCCTCCTGACAACATGACCAAAGTAGGTGAGAAAAAGTCTGGCCATTTTCACTTTCAAGGAGCATTCCGGCTGCACTTCCTCCAGGACAGATGTGTTAGTTCTTCTGGAAGTCCACAGTACTTTCAGCATTCTTTGTCAATACCACCACAGCTCAAAAGCATCAACTCTTCTTTGGTCTTCCTTACTCACTGTCCAGCTCTCACATGCACATGAGGCAGTTGAGAATACCATGGCTTGGGTTAGGTGCATCTTGGTCTTCAAGGAGACATCTTTGCTCTTCAGCACTTGAAAGAGGCCCTTTGCAGCAGATTTGCCCAATGCAATAATACATCTTTTGGTGTCCTGACTGCTACTTCCATTGGTGTTGACTGTAGAACCAAGCAATATGAAGTCTTTGACAACCTCAGATTTTTCCCCATTTATCATGATGCTGCTTATTGGTCCAGTTGTGAGGATTTTCATTTTCTTTATACTGAGGTGTAATCCGTACTGCAGACTGTAGTCTTTGATCTTCATCAGTAAGTGCTTCAAGTCATCCTCACTTTCAGCAAGCAAAGTTGTGTCGTCTGTGTATCTCAGGTTGTTAATGATTCTTCCTCCAGTCCTGATGCCACATTCTTCTTCATATAGTCCAGTTTCTCAGATTATTTGTTCAGCATATAGATTGAATAAGTATGGGGAAAGGATCCAACCCTGACACACTCCCTTCTTGATTTTAAACCATGCAGTATCCCCTTGAATGACAGCCTCCTGGTCTATGTGCAGGTTCCTCATGGGCACAATTAACACTTTAAAGAGGTCTTTTGCAGCAGATTTTCTCAGTGCAATACGTCTGATTTCTTGACTATTGTTTCCATGGCTGTTGATTGTAGATTCAAGTAAAATGAAATCCCTCACAATTTCAATCTTTTCTCCATTTATCATAATGTTGGTTATTGGTCCAGTTGTAAGGACTTTTGTTTTCTTTATGTTAAGATGTAATCCATACTGAAGATGGTAGTCTTTGATCTTTATCAGTAAGTGCTTCAAGTCATCTTCACTTTCAGCAAGCAAGGTTGTGTTGTCTGCATATCACAGGTTGTTAATGAGTCTTCCTCCAATCCTGATGCCACGTTCTTCTTCATATAGTCCAGCTTCTTGGATTATTTGCCCAGAATACAGATTGAATAAGTATGGTGAAAGGATACAACCCTGACATACTCCCTTCTTGATTTTAAACCATGTAGTGTTCCCTTGTTCTGTTCAAATGACACCCTCTTAGTCTATGTACAGGTTCCTCATGAGCACAATGAAGTGTTCTGGAATTGCATTCTTCTCAATGTTATCCACAATTTGTTATGATCCACACAATCCAATGCCTTTGCATCGTCAATAAAACACAAGTAAATGTCTTTCTGGTATTCTTTGCTTCGAGCCAAGATCCATCTAACATCAGCAATGATATCCCTCATTCTACGTCCTTTTCTTAATCCAGCCTGCATTTCTAGAAGTTCTCTGTCAACACACTGCTGCAACTGGTGCTGGTAAGTATAATTTATTTTAAAAAGTAAAATCCAAACTGACAGCCACCAACTTTTAGACACATTGAAACTCACTGGAAGTGGAGCTAGAAGGAGCCTTTGGAAACATCCAGACCATTATCTCCCACTTGGGGAAACCAGGGCCCTGGGGAGAGCAGAGGGGTTCCTGGCCCACACAAAGAGGACAGCACTCCAAATCTGGTCACTTGGCTGCAGGTGCTTCGAATAGCAGCTGGGAGACAGGAAGCTGCGACATGCTCTCACCTTGGGTGTGTTGGTCCCACAGGCAACCAGGGCCCGCTTGCTCACCCCTCGTGCTGTGCCTGCAGTCCCCATATTCCTTCTGTGCCAGAAGAGACAGACCAGCCCCCAGGCATTTTCTTGGAGAAAAGAGCCCAGAGGATGATTCCAGCATCCTGTGGCCACCCTGAGGGTCCTGCCAGCAGTGTTTTCCTTGTGTACACCCCTGTCGTTTTCCTTTGGCAAGAACAATGTGGTCCTGTTTTGGCTGGCCCAGGCTAAGGACTTTCTCTACCTGATTTCATTAACCCTGACAACCCCTTGGAGCTGGAGTGGAGCCTCCCAGGCAGGTGAGACACCAGGCCTGGAGTAGAGGGTGAGGCCCCAGGCATGGGGTCCCTGGCAGACCCAGACCCCCAAGAAATCCTGGATTGGGTCACACTGCAGCTCTTTGTTGTTGTTGTTGTTATGTGCTGTCAAGTCGGCCCTGACTCATAGCGACCCCTCCTTGGGTTTCCGAGGCAGTATCACTATGGAAGTAGGATTGCCCAACCTTCCTTCCGAGGAGTGGCTGGTGGGTTTGAACCGCCAGCCGTCTGGTTAGCAGGCAAGTGTCTTAGCCACTATGCTACCAGAGCTCCCACACTGCAGCTCTAGTAGACCTTAAAATTGTCCCAGAAGGTTAGGGGAGCAGATGTCTTGCAGACTCTGGGGATCAGGGCTCCCACAGGGCTTCTGGGAGCTGACAGGAGAGCTGAACCGGACCTGGACCTAGTGGGCCCAGACTCAGAGTCCTTGAGCCCTGGCCCTGGACCTTGTGCACCCTGCCCCAGGATCCCATGCACTCAAATCCTGAATTCCGTGTGCCTTGACCATTAGCTTTGTGCATCCTGGGGCTTGGACCCCACGCACCTGGACCCCAGACCTATGAGCCCCAGATCCCAGACCACCCCAGGGCCCATGTGTCCAGACCCCAGGCCCTGTTGGAGGTCCTTGACTCCCTGCCACCTGAGGACTCCTCGGTCCTGCAGGTCCCTGAGGCCCTGTGGCCCAGGTGCAGGTGGGAGGAGGAGACTTAACCCCACAGAAGGTGACTCTTCTGAAAGGAAGGAGAGGAAGTTCCTAATCCCCACAGACTCTGAGACACAGGGTGCTCCCTTCTGCCGAGCCCACTGTGGCCCCAAACGTCCTGGTCACAGCCTCCAGGCACTCCAAGCCCAGAAGCCCTCTCTCTTCCCAGCTGACTCCAATCATGCTCTGAGACTGGGCTGGGCACCCCTGGTGGGTTAGGAGCCATGAGCTCACCACTCACTGTACATAAAGCACAGAGTCATGGCTTCTCCTTATCCATGACTCATCCTGCATACGCTTCTGGACCAGAGCCGGCCACGCTGGGCCACAGGTGAGATCACACAGGCCTGCTCTCAAGGAGCCTCACAGGGGGCTCCAATGGTGAGATGTTCACATGCCCTCTGTTCCAATCACCAGCAGGCAGGGCCCGTAGCTGAAGCACCCACAGGCCCAACACCCTTCCTGCAGTGGGGTCCGACTTAGGCTGTTTCCTCAGCACAAGATGGTCATGGCCGCAGAGTTGATGGGACAGGATGGGAAACATGGCCTAGCCCCTGTCCCCTGCATCCTCGGGGCCGGGGCGGGGCAGGGCACGGAGACTCACTTTGGTAATCACTCTGCTCTGGCCTCAGGGACAAATGAGTCTGAGGTTGGTGGGTGGTTACCAGTCAAGTCTAACCTAGCTCAGCAGCAAAACGAAGGCCCCCTCACCTTCCCCTAGCTGTGCATCAGAGAGATTTCATGGAAAAAGAGCCCCCAACACACAGAATTTGGTGTGGGATGAGAATTCCAGCCGACTCTGAGAAGGGGTGTCTCCAGCAGAACTGCTGGGAAGGGGGGTACTAGTGTCTTGGAGGCACTGATTTTCTGCACCTGTGTGTCTGTGTGCATGTGTGTATTCATGAATTCTGTGCATGTGTGTGTATCTGTGCACATGTGTAGATGTGTGCACTGCATTTATGTGCATGCATGTGTCGGTGGGTATGCATGCCCATGTGTGTTTCATGTGTACATACATTTATGTGTGTGTGTGTGTGTGTGTATGTTTGTGTATGTGGCAGCAGAGAGCCCTCTAGTACCTCTGGGCATTCAGAAAGTAGAGGACATAAAAAGAGGAAGCCTTGCCCCATGCCGTGGGGCGATGGGGAGCCCATCGCCCACCTTCTCCTCCAGCTCTTTCAGGTGCCTCTTCTGAGCCTCCAGCTTGTCCTCCAGCTCCCGGACCCTCTGAAACACACAACTGTACGTCAGAGCAGTCATCTTCCCTGCCCAGGCTCTTCCTTACTCTTAACTGTGTGTGCAACCCTGTGACCCCAGAATCAGTGGTGGCAGCAGCCTTGCAGCAGTGGCCTCCCCACTCCCTGGACAGTTGGACCCCCTCCCCTCCCAGTGGTGTCCCCATGAGGTGAGCTCCAGACCCCAAGTCCTGCATGTGGTACACACTCTCACCACAGTGACCCCTCCCCACCCCTGACCACCTGCCACTCTGCTCTGTTCCATCCCTCCACCCACCAGATGCCCCCAACTGCTGTTCCTTCCCTCCCTTCTTGATTTTAAACCATGTAGTGTTCCCTTGTTCTGTTCAAACGACACCCTCTTAGTCTATGTCCAACCTCGCCCAGCTCACTGTCCTCCATTCATACATGGCTAGGAACCTCCTATAGGAATAGGGACCTCTCCTGCCACCCTACACAGGAGTGTGTGTGTGTGAGTGAGTGCATCTGCATATACGTGTGCATGTGTTTGTTCATGTGCGTATGTATGCACATGTGTATGGTGCATTGCTGCATGTGTGTGCACGTGTATGCATGCGTGGATATATGTGCATGCACATGGCTACATGTGTACAAGTTTTACACATGTCTTGCTTGCATGCACATGTGTGCTTATGTGCATGGATGTGCCTACATGTACGCCTGTGCATAGGTGTGATGTTGCATCTGTATGTGTACAAGTTTTGCTCATGTGTGCAATCTGTGTATGTGTGCATGTGTTTGTGTGTTTATGCCTGTGCATGTGTGTGGTTTTGTGTGCCCCCACATGTTCAAGCTTGTTCATGTGCGCACACATGTGTGTACATGTGCGCATCCGTGTATATGTGTGGGGTGAGGGTATGGTGGGTGTATGTGTGTGCACCTGTGTGGGTGGGGAGTTATGCATGTCTGCATCTGAGCCTGGCATGTGGAGGCATCGACTGGGGGGCCTGCATCGGCTCCTTGACACCCTCTTCAAACGCTGTCTCTCTTCCTTTCTTCTCTGGCTCCCACCTGCTGGCTCTGTCTCCTTCCGCACTAGCAGTGAGTGAATTCCCTGAGCTTCACTCTTCCCATTAGGAAAATGGACATATTAACACCACCCACAGAGAAGTCCCGGAGCCCCGTTCTATGTACTCAGCAGCTCATGGAGGGTCGTGTAGAACTCAGCCCTGGGGTAACTCTAGGTAACTCCAGGTACAACCCTCAAGCGGGTGACAGCACAGAGGCAGCAGAAAAGCAGTGGCAGCCCCCACCCCTGGATTTGCTTCTGCCTGTGAGAGTGCGCATGGGGTGGAAATGGCCAGCAGATGGCGGTGTTGGCTAGTGTTACTGTGTACGGCCCTGCTGCAGCACTGCACCAGCAGTGAAGGGGCTCTGTGAGTCGCCCAGAGTCCCCGCCTCCCCTGCCCCACCTCTCTCCCCAACCCTGGGGACCACATCTGCTGCCATGTCAGGAGCCAGCGAGAAACTGGCTTCGTTCAGAGAAGCAGGCTTTAGTGCCAACTTGCACCAAGCGAGCCTGTCAGACTGCTGGCTACACCCTGATGCCTACCTGTGAGGCCGGCACACACACCCACACAAACACACATATCCATGTATGCACATATATGCATGCACACACACTTGCACACATGTGAAGACACACGTGTGCACACATACATACATGATGTGGATGGGGGGTGGAGGCCGTGGTTGTCCTGCTGTCACCAGCGGGGTGCACCCCAATGCCTGCCTATGGGGCTGGCTCACACACACGTGCAAACACACACAAACCCACATGGCAACAGGGGATATGGAGACCCTGGTTGCCCCACTGTCACCCTGACGCCTGCCTGCAGGGCTGGCACACACACACACATGCATGGACAGACACACACACACACTCACATGCATGTGCAACATGTGCATGCACACGCACACACATGCACACATGCACATGGCAGGGGGAGGGGGGGTGGAGGCTGTGGTTGTCCCACCATCACCAGCTGGGTGTACCCTGATACCTGCCCATGGGGCTGGTTCACACGCACACGTGCAAACACAAGCACACACATGGCAGTGGGGGGCATGGAGGCAATGGCTGCCCCACCTTCACCCTGATGCCTGCCCACAGGGCTGGCACACGCACACAGACACACATACATGCACAGTCACATACATATGCACACACATGCACATGCACACACATGGAGACACAGCAGGGACGGGGAGATAGAGTTGCCCCACTGTCACCTGCTGGTGCACCCCAATGTCTGCCCACAGCATCAGAGCACATGTGGGGAGTGGGAGGGCTGTGTGGGTGTGGTGTACCTCTCCCACCCCGCTCACCTGCTGGTGCACCCCAATGTCTGCCCACGGCATCAGAGCACATGTGGGGAGTGGGAACGGTGGGTGGAAGGGGTGTACCCCTCCTGCCCGGTCACCTGCTGCGCCTGCTGCAGTTGCTCCATGCGCACCCGCAGCACCTGGCTGTCACACTCACGGCCCTGCCTCAGCATCTGCCGACGCATCTTCTCCACGGCCGCCTGCAGGTCCTCACGCTGGCCCTCACTCAGTGTCGCAGCCACCCTGCAGCCTGGCTCCTGCTGCAGTGCATCGTACAGCGTGGCCTCCAGCTCCTGGATTTTCTGAGTGGCCCAAGCACAGACAGAGGGACAGTCACCATCGGGACAGGCTGCCAAGGGGCTCTGAGCCTGTGTGCATGTGTGTGTCCTTGTAGCTCACAGCCACCTTTTACTTCAGTCTCCAGTGTCGTGGATTGAGTCGGGTTGAAGTCTAACCCTGTGCTGGTGAGTGGGATCCTGTTTGCAAATGCAATGGCCTTTTGTTGGGCAGATGAAGTCACAGGGGAGTTGAGTGGGCCCTAAAGCTAGTCCCTTCTGTGTGGTGACTTACAAGACAGCAGAACAGACACAAATACAGGGAAAGACAGTGCCAGAGGAGGGTAGGCCTGCAAGCCAAGTATCTCAGTTACTGAGTGCTGCTGTGACAGACTCAGCACAGTGGACGCCGTCTGCTATCTCATGCCGCTGTAAGAGGAACACCACAGGGACTCTGTCTCAGTTACTTGTTGGTGGTGTTGTTAGGTGCCATCAAGTCGTTTCCAACTCATAGCAACCCCATGCACAGCAGAACGAAACACCACCTGATCCTGCACCAGTTCCATGATCCTTGTGTACTTGAGTCCATTGTCGCAGCCACCATGTCAATCCATCTCGTTGAAGGCCTTCCCCTCTTTCATCGACCCTCCACCTTACCAAGCATGACATCCTTCTCCACGGAATGGTACCTTCTGATAACATGACCAAAGTAGGTGAGACAAAATCTGGTCATTCTCGCTTCCAAGGACCATTTTGGCTGCACTTCCTCCAGGACAGACCTGTTAGTTCCTCTGGCAGTCCACGGTACTTTCAGCATTCTTCGCCAGCACCACAACTCAAAAGCATCAACTCTCCTTCAGTCTTCCTTATTCATTGTCCAGCTCTCACATGCATACGAGGACATTGGAAATATCATGGCTTGTGTCAGGCACACCTTAGTCCTCAAGGAGACATCCTTGCTCCTCAGCACTTGAAAGAGGTCCTCCACGGCTGACTTGCCCAGTGCTACACGTCGTCTAATGTCCTGACTGCTGCTTCCATTGGTGTCAACTGCAGAACCAAGCAATGTGAAGCCTTTGTCAACTTCAATCTTTCTGCATTTATCGTGATGCTGCTCATTGGTCCAGTTGTAAGGATTTTTGTTTTCTTTATATTGAGATGTAATTCATACTGCAGACTGTATTCTTCAATCTTTATCAGTAAGTGTTTCAAGTCATCCTCACTTTCAGCAAACAAAGTTGTGTCGTCAGCATATCTCAGGTTGTTAATGATTCTTCCTCCAATCTTGATGCCATGTTTTTCTTCATAGAGTCCAGCTTCCTGGATTATTTGCTTAGGATATAGATTGAATAAGTGTGGGGAAAGGATACAACCCTAATGCACTCCCTTCTTGATTTTAAACCATGCAGTGTCCCCTTGTTCTGTTCGAATGACAGCCTCCTGGTCAGTACAGGTTCCTCATGAGTACAATTAAGAACTCTGGAATTCCCATCCTTCTCAATGTCATGCACAATTTGTTATGATCCACACAATCAAATGCCTTTGCATAGTCAATAAAACACAAGTAAACATTTTTCTGATATTCTTTGCCTTGAGCCATGATCCATCCAATAGCAGCTATGATATCCCTTGTTCCACGTCCTCTTCTGAATTCAGCTTGCACCTCTGGAAGTTCTCTGTCAATATACTGCTGCAACCATTTTTGAATTATCTTCAGTAAGATCTTACTTGTGTGTGATATTAATGATATTGTTCAATAATTTCCACATTCTGTGGGATCACCTTTCTTTGGAATGAGTACAAATATGGATCTCTTCCAGTCAGTTGGCCAGGTAGCTGTCTTCCAAATCTCTTGGCATAACCGAATGAGTGCCTCCAGTGGGGCATCCGTTTGTTGAAATAACTCAATGGGTATTCTGTCAATTCCCAGAGCCTTGTTCTTCACCAATTCCCTTCATTGCAGCTTTGACTTCTTCCTTCAGTACCATTGGTTCTAGATCATATGCCATTTCCTGAAATGGATGAAGATCGACCAGTTCTTTCTGGTACAGTGACTCTGCGTATTCCTTCCATCTTCTTTTAATGTTCCCTGCATCATTCAATATTTTTCCCACAGAATCTTTCAATATTGCAACTCGAGGCTTAAATTTTTTCCTCAGTTCTTTCAGCTTGAGAAATGCCTAGTGTGTTCTTCCCTTTTGGTTTTCTAACTCCAAGTCTTTGCACATTTCATTATGTTGTTGTTGTTATGTGCCGTCGAGTCAAACCCGACTCATAGCGACCCTTCCTTGGGTTTCCAAGGCAGCATCACTACGGAAGTAGGATTGCCCAATTTTCCTTCCGAGGAGTGGCTGGTGGGTTTGAACCGCCAGCCATCTGGTTAGCAGGCAAGTGTCTTAGCCACTATGCTACCAGAGCTCCCTCATTATAGTAATTGGTTTTGTCTGCTAGAGCTGCTCTTCGAAATCTTCAGTTCAGCTCTTTTATCTTGTCACTTCTTTCATTTGCTTTAGCTATTCTCTGCTCAAGGGCAAGTTTCAGAGTCTCTTCTGTCATCCATTTTGGTCTTCTCTTC